TTCCAATAAGGACATTGTTTCACAAATACTTTCTGTAAAGCACTTTGAAGAAGAAACAAACCAAAAATGTGACTCTCATAAACTACTATCTCAGTTTGGAATGGTTCAACGGTTTAATGAGGTTAATTTGTATTAGGTTGAGGGAAATCCTTTATCTACTGTATAGAGGCTTTCGTTTCACATGAATGTGACAGATATTGTACTTACTGCACTGGAACTTAATTATTTGATAGCACAAGGAACTGAAATTCCCACATTTCCTCTCTAGGAACATTCACGGTATACTTTAGATGGTAAATAGAAACTAGAGGATAGTTGCCCTAGATTTTTAATGTGTTGAAGAGACAGAGTAGCCTTTTCTGGAAGGTTTTATTTTTCTACCTCCAAAAATGGAAACAGTTTTACTAAACAGTCTCTGAAATGCTATAATTGGCATTTGGTTATTTTTTGCTCTAATCTAGTCTTCACATATCACAGCATCTTTTGAAATGCTTTTCTTTGCCATTCACAAACGTAAATGATCATTTCATTTAGATTACTTTGGCATAAAAGCCTTGGAAAATGCTCCATTTTCTCTCTAATGACTACAAAGTAAAAAATTAGCTGTCTTGAAAAGTTTTTGTTTCAGCAGTTATTTTTTTCCTCAAAGCATTATACAACAACCTAAATCCACTAACTAGCTTGCATTTCAGATGACTATTGGTGCATGTAGGTGATGTTTTATTTCTGCTTAGAAGGTGTAATATGGAATCTCTAGAGAGCCAGTCAAGCTGTGTAAAACTGTTAAATAGGAGAGCATAGAGGCAAACAAAATTTCAGAATCAATGAGACAAATCAGAATACAAATAAGGACTGAAATCTAATAGAGAGAAAAATAAGCAGGAACAAATTCACAACCTGACACTCAATTTACTTTCTTTTATAGCTTCAGTGTCAGGTTTGTTATATGAATCTCATGTCAACTCAGTTAAATGAATTTGTGTTAGTGTGTGTGGGTTTGAAATGCATAATTGCCCATTATAATAAAAATGAATGTAACTTTTCAGAACAGGTATGTGTGTCTATTCTATGTTCATGCTACATATTATATATAAGAAATACAGTGTATAAGTAATTTATTTTACTGTATGCACAAAATTCTCTATTCGCTATAAAACATATAAAAGATTAGTTGAGAAAAATGTATATAATTCTTCGAGTCAACATGTTAACATGCAATGTTAACCCATGTAAAATAATTTTCATGGTGGTTACTTTGTACCAATGGGCCTAAAAATATCTGCTTAAAAAATCTCATGGGTATTGGGATAACATGCCCCATTAACTCCCTAGAAAAGTTCAGGTAGATAGCATGAGCAGCATCCCTCTTTCTCAATTTTATTAGCAATAGTTAAAGCTTTTAAAACAGAAAAACATTTACTCAAGTTCGATTTTTCAAAAGGTGGAACCTCTTTTGATTTTCTCACCTGATATGTCACCTTTCATAATCTGCATGACCTTGGTTTGATCAGTCACATTGTGTTATATCATTTCAGCTGTAACACTGTACAACCTGACACTGTACAATGTGATGCTAAAACTGAAATGTGTAGAGAGTGATTACAATGATCACAAGCTGTTTGACTGGCTTTGTTCTAATGAAAAACATGTGATTGCTTGAATATAATGTTCTAAGCAGTAGCTTCCATTTTGGTAACTAAGAGCCAGATTGTGGGCTACCCCTCTATGGCTGTGCATGGACAAGGGTGGCAATCAAGTGGTTGCACAGTTTACAATAGCTGTCCTTGCACTCTTGGGAGGGGAGGAATTTGCTTGTTCCTGCTCCCTGTTCTTTCAGGAAGAAAGACTCTGAAAAGGGGTCAAAGAAGAGGTATGGTTATGGCCCTGCTTCCGCTTCTTTCCACCATGAGCATCTGCTTTGTCTTTATTGGTAGTCTCTGCTTTGTCTTTATGGGTAGTACAATCTCTTTAGTGCTCATCTTGGGTTACTGTGGCCTGGCAATGGCCCCATGTTAAGGGTGGAAGTTTAAATTCATAGTCTAGTTTTAAGAATATAGGCTGCTGGCCAGAGAGGGCAGTGTGCTTTAGAACGGTTATAGATTCCCCATACACTGTAGCATTCGAAGAAAAAGCAAAGTCAAAGCTGCTTGTAAAAGGGCCCAGTCCTACATGGCAAGTCTCCCATTAGCACCCCAAGTTTTGTATTTGTTTGCCAATTCAGGTCACCTTCTGCCAACATACCAACTTTTGGAATTTGGGTAGGAAGGGGATGACAGAGTCCGCATTCTTGATAAAATTTCATAAAATATTTTGCACTTGCTACCTCTCCAGTGCCCCCTCCATGTGATTCAAATAGAGCTATCCAAGGCTGAGACAGTGTAGACCTGAGGAAAGGAAGTTTTACGTAATATTTTCTACCAGTCTCCTCAAGGTAACATCTCACAATCTCATTTGGGTACAATATAAGTCCTGAGTATAGACAGTGACTCTCTGGTACTTTAGCAGTAGTTTTATGATCTGTCTGTGATCTGCCCTACAATTTCTAGCAGCCACTGGTTCAGCTTGCAGTCTCAGCAAGCTTTGATTAAATGAAAATGATACAATAATTAGTTACTATACCTTAAATAGTTAACCTTTCCCCTAGGCAGATCTTCTCCTGGGACTGCTGTAGCCTCAGGGCTGAAGTAATTCCTGTGACTGGTTAGCTGATCCTGAAACAAGAGAGAATGGATAGTGTGTCCGAGTAGTCATTGATCCACTGCCCCCCAACCCTGCTTTGCACTACGAAGCAGAGAGCTCCATGACATGATGGGGGATCATATTCCATGCATAGGATTCCCAAATCCTGCCACATCTTCTTAATGGAGCTGTACCAGTTGACTAGTGAAATGAAAAAAACAAACAAAGAAAAACCAGGACATTTCAGGTGACTTAAAGGAAGATCCTGGGACATCATATAAAAAACTGGATCTGTCTGGGGACATGTGGTCATCTTACATTTATAATGTATGCATTCCAAAATATATATTCATGCTGCTATTTTAATGTTGAAGCACTTTCTTTTCGGAGTGTCACCCTAAGAAAATACAGGTGAGTCTTACCTTACGCTGGGGTTACGTGCCGCTGTCAGCGCATAAAGTGAAAATCGCGTATAGTCAAAATTACATTGAGTGTAATGGCGGGCGGAATCGCCCACACTACAGGTACAGTATTTAAATGGTTATTTTTCTCTTTTTTTGTTGTTTTGTTTTTGCTGACCGCGCAAAGCTGAATTCGCGCATGTTAAATGCGCGTAAGATGAGACTCGCCTGTATATTATATTAGGTTTATACGGAGTTGCAGGTGTCTATGCTATTCTGAAAATATATATATTTTCTATGATGCTTTTTCAGTGCCTCTACAGTTTGTTCCACTGAAATGGTGCAATGTGCATTCTTCTCAATTGTTCTTATTTCACCAAGCATTTTCTGTCCGAGACACTTATGCCATGTTTAGAAAAGAAATCAGCTTTGCACTACAGAGTTGGTGTTATTGGAATTTTAATTGTGTGTATTGCAGATCCCTTTATAGAGCTAAATGTAACATATTTCTAATAAAAACAAATGCTGTACCATGCTACCGAGCAGTGTTATCACCATCATCACCTTCTTCTTTTTGTTTGCACAGCTCACCATGTTAAAACTGGAACCTGTGAGGTGGTGGCTCTCCACAGATGTTGTAATAAGAACAAGATAGAAGAAAGGTCACAGACAGTCAAGTGCTCCTGCTTTCCTGGGCAGGTAGCAGGTACCACCCGAGCAGCCCCTTCTTGTGTTGATGGTGCGATGACTTCTCTTACGTCATTTTCTTGTATTTTTGCTAGTGGGTTTTGTAATGCTTAGTGTCAAAACTAGGAATCTTTCTTTTAAACCGAGCAGTGTTTAAAAGTGTTAGAAAGGATTCTGAGGTTTGAAGGGTGTCTCCAAGATGAATGGGAGAGGAGGATAAGAAAAATGAATTATTTGCTATTGCTTTATGGAAACACTATCATTAGATGACAGTGAAACAGACCTCTTGAGAATCAAAATGTGATCTAAATAATAGAATGCTCTTAGTGTTATCAAGTTAATTTAATTAAAAGTGTTTATGCATAAGTTACATCAGCATATTATTTTCATATGCTGCAGTCTCATACTTTATTTATTTGTTACTTTGCCACAAAGCAAGGAAAAACAAACAAGCAGAGCATAGTTTGCTCGTTTTTAGGCTTTTTAGACCAATGTTGTTTTTGCTATTCATAGTGCAATCTTAATACTGCAAACAAAACTGGCATAAAATAGGTTTTATTTGGGAAAATATTGGCTCATTTTGCACAACTCTTTCTCTGAAAAAGGACAAGACTGTTTTTTAACCCTTTACACAAATTATTTTTTCTGTGTTTGCTGTCATAGAAGCTGTATGTATGTCATCTTCAGGTCATACATTTAATCTTACCTTGAATGTACAGAACTTCAAACACAATACCTTAACTCAAAAGAAGAGATTATGCCAAAAACTTAGACATCTGACCAGGAAAGAAGAATTGGTGATTGAAAAGGATTGCTGTGAAATTTGTTCTTGAAGCAAGATAAATTTAAACAGATGTAACAAATGTAAAAAAAAAAATAGTAATAACAATAATAATTAAGAAGAGATGCTGGTGCCAAATTCATACACAGTGCCCTTGACAAATAGAGTCTATTTATTTAGGAAGATTCTGACTTGCAGTGTAGTTGTTGGTCAATATACTTTTTTCTAAAAATTTTGTGGAGAATAAAATTGCTGCTGCCATATAATAGGGGATGTAAAGTGGCCATTTACTGAACATGTAAATGTGTATGTTTCCCCCTCTCATAGCTTCAATAGTGGAACAGAAATGGTGGTGCCACATGCAACCATGTCTTGAAGGGGAGGAATGTAAAGTTCTTCCAGATCGGAAAGGATGGAGTTGTTCCTCTGGGAATAAAGTGAAAACAACTAGGGTAGGTATAAAAATTTTATTAAAGTTAATGTTTAAAATTAAGTATACACAAGTTAAGAGGGAAGGTACTGTACATCTGGGGTCAGGCTTGAGTTATGAGGGATTACAGGTATTGGTTGCAAGGGTGAAGAGATACATACATATCACATAACCAGCATAGACCCAGATTGGGGTGCAAGAGTTTTTAAAGTGTCAGTGGATAAGTGGTCTCGGGTACGCCACCCATGGAATGTATAAGGAGTCCAAGTCAGTATCGGTATAGCGAATAAGTACACCAGCATCACTTGTTACCAACAGAAAACTAACACACAGGCCCTAAGTAAACACTCAAAAGAAAAGAGCCTAGAAGAGTAATGAGCTGTGGGTAGGCAGTTTTATTGAGGTTGGGTTTCCTGACTCTGTACACTTCCATCAGCATACTTTGCAGTTGATTGATCATAGTGTGCACTGTTCCTGTCATTTTCAGGTCTGGGCATTGCAGAGAAGAGAATAAACCCCCTTTCAGCTGCTACTACTAATAATTTATATTTTATTTGATCTGTTTGTCCCTCTATGGCTGGTTGCAAAAAAAAGCCAGCACACCCTGCTAATCTCCTTGCAATGTTCCAAATCCTATTGATTTACAAGGTATAAAATAAATGCACTTTTTTGTCAATTGCTTGGAATTATCATATCTCTACACAGAAACTGTTGAATATGGTAAGCATTTACTGTGTCATTACAGAATAATCTTCTGGTTATTTATGTCTTGTAAAACAGAATTACTACAAAATTTGGACAGTGGTGCAATATGTTCCCTTTCCCATTTGACACTTATTATGTTATTTGTTCAAAATTGCATTAGTAGGAATCCATCTAACATTTTGTTTTACATGATTCTTTGAAAACAAAGTAAACCTGTGCTTTCTAATTGCTAACACAAGCAAAAGAATAACAAATTACCTAGATAATACTAAGCATTATACGCTCAGACTTCCAGAAACCACAGCTTAAAATCCCTGCATATTCAATTCAAGTTTTCATTCCTGTGAGGCAAATTAAGGATCCAGCCTGCAAACGCACACACAAGTAAATCTTATGTGAGTAGCAATGGTTAAAGTTAGTCACATGAATAATTGTTTGCAGGATTGATTCATAACTGGCTACAATGAACTTTACTTTGTGTATGTGTCTCTTTGAGCCTGTGACACAGAACAAAATATTTCCCCTCCCTTCACTGTACTGTAGTGTCCTATGTATCGACTGGCTATCTCCTGTCTATCCCAGAGGTGGCTGAATGGTGTCTGTATGTCTGAGTTTGTAAAAGCACTTTGACATTCTTTGGATGAAAGGTACTTCATTAGTGTATGTTATTCCATTCTTCCTTCTTAAATCCTTTTTCAAAACACTAATCTCTGCTTGAGTACTGCCCCCAGCTAAATGTGTGTGTGTATGTATATATGTAAGGTGTGCACACATACTCACTCTAGATAAGTATTATGTATGTTGTGTATGTGTCTGAGATATATCCAGTTAGAGGAAGATAATTTAACAACAGTAACTAACTGCAGATGGAAAAGAAATTGGGAAAAAAATGTGACTAGTTCATGTCCCTCTCTCCTCTTCTTTTGGCATTTGGCTTCTTCCCCCTACCCTCCTACCATGTTGTTTTGCTCTATTTACATGTGAATTGTCTAAATTAGATAAGATTTCTGGACAGGGATTTTCCTCCTTATATATTTGTAAAGTACCATGCAGTATATTGTCCAACTACTACAGGGTTAGGGTATAAATGTTGTTGTTGTTTGTACAATTATGTCATTTTGGCAATATTTTTAGTAATATAAGCTCATTGTTAGCACTTAACAAACAATAAGTAACAGGTGGCTGGATCATATTCTCCCGCTCCCCAGACACTTTTAAACCACTCTAGAGGTCCCAGGCTCTATTCATCATCATGCTAAGACCTACAGGTCCATTGCAATGGATGCTTCAGCCTCATTTCAACTTGGGGGCAGAACCAGACCTGTTAGTCTGTGGCAGCAGGGGATTTCCTGCCTCTTGAAGTTCCCTCCAGTTTTACCTGCCTCACCACCAGTGGCTCAGCCAGACCCCCCTCCCCTTCTGCAGAGCTTTTCTGAGGGAAATCCCACACTTTATTTCAAGTTTGCAACTAACAATTGGCTATCTGGGCTCTGAAGGATTAATCCTGCCTCTCTATATATACATAGAATATCACAGGGTTGGAAGGGTCCTCAGGAGGTCATCGAGTCCAACTCCCTGCTCAAAGCAGGACCAATCCCCAACTAAATCCCTAAATGGCCCCCTCGAGGATTGAGCTCACAACCCTGGGTTTAGCAGGCCAATGCTCAAACCACTGAGCTATCCCTCCTGAATCTTCAGTAGCCTTGATTTTGAGAAGCCCTGGAATACCTATGCTGCTATTAGGAGGCTGAATGTCTTCTTCGTCTTAAGAAATTACCCTGTTATCAAAAGTGAGTACTCATCCCTAATGTATGGAGGCTGCAGTGTGTATGTAGCTCTTGTCTATAGTAAAAGGTTCTAAGTGAAAGGAAAAATTCTGAAGTGTTTGAACCAGTAAACTCCATATTCAGAGAAAAATAATACAGACAGCAAAGAATCAGTATTAAGAGAACAAGTATAATAAGCTTTTATTATTGTCAAATGAAGTAGCCCATATGTGATGGTCGTGTATAATGTAAAAGCAGCGGGAGCCAAAGGGAGCTAGCAAGTTTGTGTGATTTAAACACACAGCAACTTCTGTGAAAGCCTTGCTAAAAGCAATATAATGCATTAGGTCTCAATTCACCTCTAAACACTGGGTCAAATTTTCCTCTTCAATAATACATGTGAAAATCGTAGTTAGATTGTAGCTTCATAAACACTTGCAAAGCAACCCTCTTCCACAAAGGTATTTGATTTCAAAACAGCACCTGGATTTCCAGACCCCAGGATGTCAGTAATGGAGTATTATGTTAGGGAATGGAGGCAGCCTCTGGAGGAGGTGGTTTTTTTTGCCCAATTCTGGTAACACAGATGGTTGTGGTATTTGTCACTAGGGAAAGGATGCGGGTGAATAATGGGAGAAGACTAATTGATTTTTCTAAAATGTGACCTGGTTGAAGTGTTGTATGTTCAGAGATGCAGATATTTAAGAAGAATATGCATGAATAATGAATTAGGAATAGCATGAATATTCTGGTACTTAGAATTCAAATCTTAAGGATATTCAGGTAGATATTATTTACACTAAGAATACAGAAATAGGCATTATGGAATCATGTTGTAATGGAATCACAGTCCCTACAATGTCCGGGTACGGCTAACAGATGAGAGGGCTAATGGGTTAATAAGGATTAATCAGAGAGAAGCAGTAAATGTGGAGAGGAAGAGTTTAGGGGTCTGAACTTACCTCTGATTAACATTTTTTACTCTGTTGGAGTTTATATTTGGAAGGGTAGAATTTCTGCCTCTGTATTTAGAGAGGTCTGAGGAGAAAATTGCTATTCTGGCTAAAATAACGATTTATTTTTAGGCAGAGATATTGTAGTGTATGCCTGCCTAGGCAATGCACTGGAACTGGACAGGGTGTTTAGAAATAGATTATTAAGCCTATGAAATAAAGATAGCTCAGAGATTTTCCAGAGACGACATAGGGTCCAGGATGCAGTTCTAGGATTGTGTTAAGGTACAGATAGTTGACATTTTTTTTACATGAAGTTTTCATTTTATTTGTTTTCACATTTTTCCTATTTGTTGACAAAAAAGAAATATATTTTTTCAAAACAATAAACATTTGCATTTCATTTTGAAATATTTTGTTTATAATTTCTTGTCTCCCCTTCCTTTTTCTCAACTTTTTAATTTTTTTCCACTGGAAAGGAAGAAAAAATAAAACAAGGAAAGCAACACTTCCCTTCACCTTTCAACACTTAAAAAAGCTTCCCCGCCCCCCCAGTGGGGGGTGCGGGAAGGGGAGAGAGGTTTGAAAAAATGAGTGTGAGAGAATTTCCTCTCTAGTCAGAAAACCAAAAAATGTATTTGAATAATTTTTTTGGTGGAAATTTTTCATTTTCAATGAAACCCCATTTTCCAAGACAAAAGCTTTAGCTGAAAAAAACTTTGACTAGTTTTAGTTAGGAATTTAATCTGACAAAGAAAATCAGCGACAGGCAAGATTGTTGTCTTACAGTTGGAGAGAGGTGTCTTTGAATTGATTTTGAGTGCTTGGAGTTCAAAAAAGAGAGAGCTTCTAAGAAGGACCAGGGGACTTCTAGTGTTCATCAGACTTACAGAGACTTTGACAGGGGACAACCTCATCAAATATGTGAGCACAGGGGTAGGACTACTAGAAGAGTCATTGTTAGCCTGAGTCTCACTTAATATGGTATAATTATGTTTGAGTTTGTTTCCTCTATCACTCAGAAAGTATTAAGGACACGTTTGTGTTCACTATTATTTCTTGTGTTTTCTGATGTATCATGTTGTTCCTTATTTTATTTCATAAGTAGTATTTGGATTTCCCTCCCATTCCATTTCTTTCCTTCTTCCTTAGATTTTGCTCTGAGTGTATATAATTAAATTCCTCTTTTGTTTCATCCAATTATTGTGACCTATTCCATTTGGCTAAAAGTGAGTAAAAAGTTATTGAACAATAAGGGAGATCAAAGTGTTTCCATTCTGCCATAAACAACTTGAAACTGAAAAGAGTAGGTGTTGGTACCATAAGGTATTTTTCTAAGGAACTGCATTGCTAAGGATGGTTTCTACTACCAAGAAGATGTCCCTGACAAATTAAGGTTATCAATAAATTTTCATTATCTTGCAAAGATATACCTAATTTTAAAAAGGGAAATATGAGTGTACAGATGCATGCTGATGCACAGTTGCACAGAGAATGAGATGCACGTGCCTTATCTTCATTCTTGTGCACATCTGAAGATATTTTTATTAGATCTGGGTCAAAATTAAAACCATGGATCTGAACACCCAGAACATCAG